ATTTTTTAAAAGCAGACTTTGTGTGTGTATTTAGTGGAGCAACTGATGTATAAGAGAATGTTTAAAGTGTGTATAATTTATAGAAAAAGATCATCATTAAAAATTTAATTTCCCATGCAATATTGTGAGGTCTTACTGTTTGACAACCTTTATTCTGCAGTGGAAGGATGTTTTAGATTATTTCTAGCTTGTGTTTTATTATACACTTGGATGTAAATGATTATGAATTATATAATAATAGAGAAGGAACTTCATATAAGTCACCTGGCTTTGATAGTTACTAAAAATAATTCCTTTGTGTGTGTTATTGGAGAAGATAAAAAGTCATATCTGACACCTGCGTTTTTGTGTTTGCACCACAATTTGCAGAAGCAACATTTTCTTTTGTTTCTATGGTATTTATATTTTTAATGCACATTTTACCGAGCTGATGTCTTACAAAACTATGTCATATGGCTACAGCTGTCTTTTTATTTGCAAATGTTAGTAATATAAAAACTATAAGGAGAAGTTATATTTATTTTCCAAGCATCATAGCAAAGTATACACACAGTAATATTTGGTTTAAGATTTTAATCTAGGGAAACCATATTTCCTACAGTCAGCGTTCACTGTCTCTGATTTCCACCTATCGTGCCTATTTTTCACATGGTATGGGGCACTCGTGCATCCTGTTAGTCGAATAGCTCATTTTCAAGCAAGGCTTTTGTCAGTGTACAGTATCAACAGGCATGGCTGGCCAAAAGATTTCGTTTTGAGGGGACGGCGATTCAGTACTGCACAAAGTGGGGTATGTGTAGATAACACTTCTGCAAAGCATAGATAACACTTCTGCAAAGCGTGCAGGTATTGGAGAAGTTATTTGTTCTTTCTTGCCATCAAGAGTCTACTTCAAATCTACCTGAAAGCATCTTCCAGTAAAACGAGGTAACTGTGATGGGGGATGTGGACTGCTTTCACTTACCAGGAGGGGTGGGCAGCTCTTTCTGTCTCAGACTTGCAGTTATCTGTATTTGCACATAGGGAACAAGCAGATCGCAGGCTCTTGTAGAGATTGCCATGCCAGTCTGGGGTGAGTAGTGGAGGCCTTGGTCACTTTGTTTCCCTCCTAGGGGGGACCCAAGTTTTGGTAGAAAATAAAGACACTTCGCAGTCGCTCGTCTGTCCCTCCCTGGGTTTTTTGTATTTTGATAATTATTTCAGTAGTGTTTGATAGTTGCTCACCTTATTCACCAATTATCTGCTGTCTTCTTCAGTGGTCTTACCTTTTTGCATGGAGAAGTCTTTCCTGAGCTAACTTTGGAGAGCGCAATTTTCTTCTCCAAAATTAACCTTTCCTGAAAAGCTTATCACCATTGCTTCCGACTAAGCAGGCAGGGAGGTGTGATTGTTGCCTTTAGTAGATAAATTTTTGTTTGGAGAGGGTGTTGTCTTTTTTGCTGCATGTACAAGGTCTAGATTGTCAAATGGCTGTAATCTGATCTAAGAATGATACCAGTGTCCAGAATAACCCTTCAGTCCTGGTTGCTTTGAGTAGGACATGGTAGCATTGAACTATTCTTATTTAAAGAAAAAAAAATGTATAAAAAGATATGTAGTTGTTTATATTTTCTGCTTTCTTTTTAATTTCAAACTTTTCTTGCTTTATTCATTGTTAGTTCTCTGATCTGGACTGCATTTGTAATATTATTACACCTAGTAAAGTGTGTCCCCAGTTGGAATTTCTGGTGAGACAATATTAATGCTTCGTACAGTTTTAATTAAAAAGTAATTTATATATACTCTGTGTGTGCTTACAAATCATGAGTTTAGTAATGAAAACTGATTTGTGCCAATCTTGTTAACATCGATGAACAAATAGAGTTAGTTGAACCTGTTTGGACTTGATGAATTTTCCTTTCTTACTAACTCCTGCATAATGAGGTTTTTAAGGAATCCAGTCTGAAAGGTAGTGTTTAAGTTTTTTAGCTACTCTGATTCAATAATAACAATTTATTTGTGTAGTGTGATTCCTATTTCTGATTTCCAGCCTGTGGTCTTGTGTCCTTGAGATTCTTGGATTAATTCAAGTGGACTTTTGACAGGTAGCTGATAACTTCAATTCATGTCAGAAGACTCACGCATACAATAGACGCTCACACCTCCACTGGGCTATTTCTAGGCATCTGCAAAATGAAAAAACTTCCAAAGCGCTGCTTCGGGATGTCACTTACTCTGCATCTGTGCATCGTTTTGATGCTGTGTTTCTCACAGCAGTGTTTTGGTGCATTCTCCTACACGTCTGTGCCGTTTCTTTGTATCTCAACTTCTGCCACCTCAGTATCATAAAAACTCAAATGGAGCTGTTTACCCGTTAGGTGCAGTGCTGTTTGCCAGGGTTGTGCGGTGAGCTTGCAGGTACCAGAACTTTTCCTTCACCGCTCTGTCTCCTTGACAGTGTCTGGTGAAAACATAGATGATGTTGTGGTCCTGTGAACTAACCTGATTTCTTATTCCATCTATGTCCTTGGATAGATTTCTCCAGTATTAATACCTTATGTGTTTTCACAAGTTACTCCCTGTAGCCAGACTTCATAAAAACTCAGACTCGGACCCAGCCGGACTTTATATGCCTCAGAGCTGGGCATATTTTAAAGCACTTAAAGCTTTTTAAAGCTTAAAGAGCTGTTAAGGTTAAATGGACTTAAGGAACTTAAAATGGAAAAAAGTTGTAACTTTTGTGTTTGTAAAGGGCAAAGTCTGTGTGTTTTCATAACAAGATTGTCTCAGGACCATTCAAAGAACAGAAAAAAAAAGTTTTAAGTTGTTGAGATGTTTTAACCATTTTTTAAATATTTCATAACTGTAATTAAATGCATGTTTTTGAGCTGAGACTTTGTGTCAAATTATACCACTGAGAAATACTCCGTTCTGTGGAGTTTACAATGCTGTTACTGGAAATCTGTAGGTTCTCATCAAAAATATTCTTGACTAAGAATTGCCAATGTAAAGTGATTTTTTTAAGATCAGTGACTTACCACATTAAAACAAGAAGTAAAATAAACAGGCCAGACTTAGTGCCTGCTTAGGGTTTTGTTTGTTTGTTTTACTAGTAGGGAGGATTTGATTTAACCTAACTGTGGAGTTTTGGCTTCGTCAGTACTAACACTAACTACACCAAGAAATTACCAAAGGAGTTTATACCTCAACCACTGCCATTCTTTAATATTTAAGTGGAATGTGTTGATTGCATTCATCTGGCTTTAATGCATTTAAAAGCTTGGTTAGTCCAAGACTAGCACTGCGAAGGGGTCATGATTTGTTAATTGTTCAACTGGATTTCATAGCCTGGTATGAGCAGTAACATAGAGAGAGGCTTTTGGTTTTCAGGGGGTAAAGGAACGATTCACCTTGTATCAGACTGTAATACCTGCGGGTTGGCGGTGCTAGGTTGTGCCCAGGGATGCTTGAACGAGCCTGTTTGGATCTACTTGTGGTACTGCCTGAATTACTGTGAGAGGACTGCCCCGTTCCTCTGTGGGGTTTTGGGGGACTGAAGACAGTCTGCACTTCATCATGCCAAGTACTGACATTGTAAGCAGTGATGTTACTTACGCAGTGGTACAGGCCAGGGCAGAATTACTTCTAAAAATAGTTCTAGGGCCGCAATGTTTGCTTTGGTTAAGCACTAATGAAATAAAGTACCTGCTTGAGTCACTTTTTGAAAGAAATCACTATTTTTATGGAAAAATATGACTTAGTGGAGAAGTGGGATTTAGTTATTGATGTTTATTAATCATGGCTGCTGTTGTGCATGTTTGTCTTCACTGAGGGTCTTCTCATTTTTCCTCCTGTTTAAAAGGCACCAGATTGATATTTCAGTCTGAGTCAGAAGCTGCATTTGCAAGTTCTGTAATAGATATCGGATGCTGCTGAATAACGCTGGAATGCCATTTTACGACATGTTTAAATAAAGATGTCACTGCCCTGTTCTGAGAGGTGGTGCGATCTGCGCGGCCGATACTCGTCACAGGGTTACTAATGCAGCAACACCTTCGTTAACAACACTGGGCGTGGTGACGTGATCACACCAAAGCGCATAAAAGTGACTGGAGTTTCTGCCCTCTAAGCTGAGCTGCGGTGGATGAGTGCATGTGCTTGTTCTTAAGTTACAGCAATGCAGAGTGAAACAAGTTACCTCACTTATAATGTTAGAGCTCTGAGGCCTTCAGTAGTAATTTCAGCCCATTTTACTCCGTGTTTGTAATAGCTCAAGAATGCATGTATTGCATTATGTGTTCCAGCTGAGAGGGACAAGTGCCTGTCATCGTCTGACTGTACCCATTTTTTGATTTCGTGAAATTCCTCGTGCCATCACTGAGAAATACCTCATTAACCATCTTTGTCTCTTCCCAGAGTTTTTTGCTGGGGAAACAAACAGCAGAGCGTTTGAACTAGGAGGGACATTTGCACAAAATCAGGAATCTCATGTCATGATATCTGGTTCAAAACAGGGATGACATTCCTGACTGTATTTTAAGCTGTAGGATCCTTGACCTTGGTTACTATAACTAGCTTTTAAGCAGGCACTTTCTCTAGCGATCTGTAGTCGAGCTTAGAATATTGTAACGTGGAGTGTAACCTGTGCACCATGTTTTCTAAAAGGATTTTTAGGCAGAGATTTTGGAAGACATATTCTTTTACTGTTTCAACAGTTGACCAGTACAGAAATGCTTATTCTACTTCTTGGCAGTGAGTGTTAAGACAAAGGTGTTGCTGCCTGTGTTCTGACTCAGACTGAGGGATGAGACTGCAGTATTAGTATAGGATCATGAAACCTAGAAGAGGGAAAAAAAAATCTCTTTAACACAGTAAGAAGCTCTTATGGAGCAGTGTATAAATTTGCTTTGTTTAAATTAATATAACAGTAGTGGCCCTGCAGTATTTTCAATTCTTTTTTTCTTAATATATATTTAAAGCATAATTTCTAATTCTTGTATATATTTTTAACTTTCCCACAGATATGCACTTATTTGGCCATTATCCAGCTCATGATGATTTCTATCTTGTAGTGTGCAATATCTGCAATCAGGTAGTCAAGCCACAGGTTTTCCAGTCACACTGCGGTAAGTGAATGTTTTCTTTCCTGAATTACAGTGCCAAACTGGCGTATGGCTCTCTTAAGAATCATTGCATACGATCGTGACAGAGGCATTGCAGATATACTTTTCTGGTTATCTTGTGTTCTTTCCACAGAAAATACCAGCAGTGCCTTCAAATAAGCATATTTCCTGTAGAGGAAGCTAAGTTAGTTGTTCTAGAAGCTGGGCTTTTCAAGTTGAACTTGTTATACTAAATTAATCTATTACAACAAATAAATCCTGTTAGTTAGATACTAGCTAGGCTAAAACTGTTACAACCTAACATTGGATTGTCTTTTATTAAAGCTGCAAAGTGAGGGCTGTGATACTGATCTACGCTAACCAGAAGTTAGATGTTATGGATTGTTTTCTGGTGGGATTTATGCATAGGTGTATATCGGGCTTATTTTTATATTTGTCATAATTTTTTACATAATTGGCATATCAAGCCACATTAAGATTCTCTTGAAAAACATTCATTTGAGAAGCTGCAGAAATGTGCAGATACTTATTTCTCAATTATTCTGACAACAGCAAGATGACAATTTTTATATTGATTATTTATAAGCAGAACTACTTTAGCTAGAAATTTTTGCTATTGATTAACAAACTACTTTCAAATATTCTCTGAAAAACTTCATCCCAAGGTCTGGTTTATTTATTACTTATGCAGTGGTTTATTTGTTATTTGTTCAGTGGTTTGTTTCTGTGGTGTTTTGTTTTTTCTTTTAAAGGATTGCAAAATGTGACTGGAATGGCTAGCTTTGCATGAGGTTTAATCAAATCCAGTTTAATCAAATTAATTTGAAGGTGATTGCATAATAATGAAAGGTAACTAGTACTGAGGATGGAATCAATTAAATACATTAAAGAAAAAAAAAAAAGACCCAGCAATATTTTCCTTGCCTACATCAACAAATAAACTTCAAATCCTGTGCCCCTTTCAGTCTTCTTGACAGCAAAGCAACTCAGTAAGGGGAAAACCCAAGTGGGATGAACAGAAAACATAAAAGTTTATTTACTTTTAAAGAGATATTACCAAAACATTAGCCTGGGTTTTTATGGATGGACTGCTAACAACCAACCAGGAGCAACTGCATTCATGTTGAAAGGCAGTTGTATGACTCACCACTACCTTTGGCCCAGATTGAGATAATTGTGAAAAAATGGTAGTAGTGGAATGTAGCATTTATATCCAGTGAATAAGAAAAGATCTGAAAGTATTAGTGTAGTGGGAGAAGGAATTACTAATTTAATGGTAGGGGCAGGTGTTAGTGTGTTAACAATCTATCCTGCTGGTTTTTTTTCAAAATTTGTTTGTTGCTCTTAGTCAGATGTGGATTCTTCCTGCCCAGCTTCAGGTATCTTACGGTTCTCTCAGTGACAGAAAAGCTTCTCTGCGTATGGTCATAGGTACAGTGGGTACTATAAACATCGGTGCATTAATAAAAGATCCACTACAGAACAGAAGAAGCTATATAACACCTTGCTGTAGCCTTCCACAGTTGTGCTCTTTGCTGGACATGACCTTTTGGTTTGGGTAGCGGTATGAAAGTTGGTCCTGTTTTCATGTAGGAGGCATACAGAACGATGTTTCTTCTAGATGAGAGTAAATTCCATGATAGAAGGAACTTTTTGAGCTCTTTGGAAGTAACGAGTTACTATCAGTGTTAGTGTGTTGCCTGTAAACTGCGAAGATCCTGTGAATCACTGTCCTTTTTTCTTTTTTTCTCCATTACTCCATTATTTATCTAATTCCTTTTACTTCATTATAGCAATCCTGTTACACTGAACAACTGAGTGTTAAATTCTGAATTGCTTGATTTAAGAGCCTAAGGTTAATAAAGACTTTAAATAAACAAACAAAAAAAAGTAGACTGTATTAAAAGAAATGGAAAATACTGAAAGTAATTGACCAAAGGTGTTACCTCTTGAAGACTGTACTTAATCTAGCCGGATTTGTTTCAGGAAAGGTGTACTGGAATATTGAGGAAAGGCCTGTGGAAGAGCTTTAAATGTATAGATAAAATATTCTGTTTTAAAGAAGCAACAGAAAAGACTATGTACTAAAACCATGTAAAAGAAGTTGTAGAAGAGAAAAGGTTTCTTGCCTGTCTTGGGAATTATTGTAAAATAATAATTTATTTTCAGAAAATTAATTTGTGAAAAGTACTACATGTTGCGTAAGTGATATGCATCTATTAACGTATCATTTTGATAAGAAATGGGTAAGATCTAAAGAAGAGATACACATGGATCTCATTAACTGATCTGTAGTTGCATTATCTGGTGAGAAAATTATAAAAGTCTTGCATTAGAAAACAGATCACCTGTGAGCTGCTTGTGGCTGAAAAATCTCTTGCTGGATATGTTATGGTATCAACAGTCCATTGAGAAAGGTCTGGAGAAGGTTTCATTTGAGACATTGGTTCTGGCTGTACTGGGCTCTTCTGTGAAACAGGAATATTTAACTTTCAGTTTTATTTAGAGTTTTATCACCTGTTGGACACAGTCAATGTGGTGGATCAGATTTTGTTTAATTAGTTAGGCCATGCAGCAGGATACCTGTAAGTTCAGTGATGCTGAACACGCCTGTCAGTAGACTTTGAGGTATTTTTAGACTGTCATATATACCATAAAATGCATTATTTTACATGTCTTGAATTGCAGCTTTAAAGTTGTAACAAAGACAATGGAATGAGAAAGCGTTAGAAGCCACTGCTGGTTTTTTGGCTCTTGAAGGCTGTGTCATGGGGAGTCTTTATTGCTACTGACAAGGACTTGTAGAGATCTATCCCAGAATCTCTGATAAAGTGTGGTTTGTTACTAATATCCCTGGTAAGATCCAGTCCATACTCTCTCAGTAAGGATTTAGGTCTGTGCCAGACACGTGCTTTATGTTTCTGGGTTCCCTGTATTGTAACTTGAAGGTCTTGGCTTTGGAACAGCACTGGAATGCGTAGTTTATCGAACGTTTCTGTAACACTTCTCTTGAGCACTTGCTGGCGTTTGCCTTTCTCCAGAGTGCAAGAAGACCCCACTGTTTCATTTGTCTTTAATTTCAGACATGTGGCAGCCATCCTTGATGGCACAGGGAAGTTGTGAAGATTATAGAGGCAGATGTTGTTATTTAACTTTTAAGGGTTTAATTCCTGGAATATCAAGCAGAAAAAGAGAAAAATCTGGTTGTGGTTCAGGCTTTTTTTTTAATGGGAGGTGATGCAGCTTACAACCTTAGACCAGTAGAAATCAGGAAGGTAAAAGAAGAGATCTGGCTAATTGGAGGACTGGCTTGCTGGACTTGAGAGTCTTTGTAATAAACACAATGTAAAGCTCAGTGTTGCAAAGTAGTAGATCTGTTCTAGCCTCTAAGTCAGAGAAATAATGAATTATTTTTCAGAACAGTTTCACATCCTTGTATCTGGCATAAACATTTATATCCATTTGTAAGGATTAAATCATTCATGTACATATGGTGTAAGCCCAGCTGAAAAAGAAACTTGCTGTTACAGGCTGCTGGATAAACCATATAAATCAAATAATTTCTTGAGGTCATTCAGTGTTATTGTGCACTTATAAAATAGTATATCATAATGTCATCAACAATAGGGTTGAAATAGTGTTGTTTGCTTCTGAAGCCAGTTCTTTGACTAACTTGTTGCCGTGGTACAGTATCTTAGATTTTTTTCTTTTTAATGTGTGAAAATGTAGTTGTATTTATTTCCCCATAAAGTAGTTTGAAATGAGAAGTCAGTCTAGTTATACAGCTTGTAGGATTTCTAAGTGTACTTGGCACATGGGGAATTTTAGTTTTGAGACTTTGTTCTGAAATGCTGACCTCAGTGAAGATGTAGAGCACTTTCTGGGACAGCAGAAAATGTAGTGTTGTAGTATCCCTGAAGTACCATAATGTTCTTGCTGTTTGTTTGGGTTTTTTTCCTCTGATATATCTGTTTTCTAGGAGATTTTTAGGGTGGCAGCCTAGGCTGAGCTCTGTCCATATGACTTCTGTTAATTCCAATTCTGTGACAGTCTGTCCATTACTTGTTAAGATGGGACCTGCACTGTTTCCCAGGAGATGTTTCTATTTTCCTTTGGCCCCAGAGAGAGTAAAGCTTCATATTCTTGTACTGCATTGTCATTTACTAGACTAAAGAGCATCAGATACAGTTCTGGGTTTGGTTTTTGGTTTTTTTTTTTTTCTAATGTTCCATACAATAGAAGGCTCATTAACTTTGTTCTTTTCCTGCTGACTCATAAAAAGTAGCTCTGGCACAGTGAAGAACAAGCAGTGCACATACAGAGAGCTTGTCAGAACATCTTGACTTTTTGTTTTAATATGAGGAAATAAATTAGTGATGGGAAAGTGTTAAAAGTAAAGTTGGGGGGAAGAGTTGAATTAGCCAAGCTAAATAATGCAGCTTGGTTAAACAATAACTGCAGTATAACCATCAAAGAAAGTTTCCAAACATACTCTGGAACCGTTTCCAAAACTGTGGAGGGTGTCTTAATGAACTGAATAATTAAATCCCCGTTTGATGAAGTTGTAGTGTACAAAGAAGAACAATTTTGCTTTGTCAAGGAGAAATGACCATGAAGTTCTCCTTCTTTTGCTAATTTCTTTATCGGAGGCTTGTCGCTATCTATCCTGCCTGTCTGTAAGGTTATTCGAACAGGCTTCTAATTAAGAAGTAGAAATTCTTATTCCTTGAAACAGAAAAAAATACCCTTGATTTTCATTCCTTCTGAGTTATAAATCCTTGGGTTGACATCCTCATGTCTTCATGAAAGTTGGAAAAGGATATTTCCTTTTTCTCCTTCTGTTTGGCTGCATAAGCATCATTTAAAAGAAAAACAGGCTAGAAAGTAACGGAGCACTGAAGAATATAAATAATTTTCCCTTCCACATCATAATTCTTTTCCTAAGAGAGGTTATATATTTTGAATTACTCAGACTAGCTATTTTACATTGTAATAGTTGTGCGTTACAATTTAATGAACAACGATTAAAGACAAGAAGGCTGAGCTTACAGTATGAATAAGAATGATTCGCTTTCTTAAGACGAGCGGGAACATCACTAGCTGGCATCTTTTTTTGCATAAGGATTTTGATACAGGTATCACTGTCACATTTGTTGGAT